TTTTTTTTTTTTTTTTGATGAGTAATTTTTGACTGCAAAAAATTTCAACCATTCATGACATTACTGATTTCTCGCTGTAACTGCTAAGGACACATTTACATTGTGAAAATGTTGCATTGAATTGGCCAAATTGTATGTGGGAGTTGGCATGGGCGATGGATGTTAAAAAATGGTAGATGCACTAAAGGGAAAAAGTTTTCTGTAGAAACATAATGCCGTTGCGGTATATGATAAAAATTTTTAAAAGTCAGAACAGAAATTACTTTTTGTTCAACTGCAGCGTTTTTGAACAGGGAAACTCAAATGAAATGATTGTTATATTGTTATGCTTTTTGAAGAAGAGCATTAATAAAGAATGGGAATGAATAAATAAGTTAAAATTCAGTGGGAAGGTAAAGAAGAGGGGGTGCTTAGTGAGTGAGTTATAGTGGGAGAGCTCAGGAAAGTTGCCGTCAAAAATAACGAGTAAGAGAAATAATTGAATGTTTGAGGAACGATAAAAATGCTATCTTTTCCAATTACTTAAAATGCGCTCAAATGCTACCAACTTTCAACAGTTTCAACAAAGCGTACAGAGCAGCAGACTAAGTCTCATTAGTCTTAGCTTCCTTATTAGACTAGATCTCTTCGCCAATTAGAAGGCTTTTTCAAAGCATTTGGGCTCATTTTTTTGTCGTCAAATATGCTGACACTTATCGCTGTGCCTTGGGACATTATTCTTCTGTTGCGTCCTGAGCTCGAAGTCCCTCATATTAATTTCCTTCTCAGTGACTACTCCGGAGCGGTAGCTTTGTAAGTTTTTGTGGGTTCTTTATGTTTTGGAACTGGCAGTTCTTGGTTAATTAATTTTTTGTTAATGCAGCAGCGAGAGTGGAAAAGATATAGTTCAAGGTCTTGTGGTGCAAAGTTTAGACCAAGAGCTAAATATATGTCGTAAAAAACTCCACAATTACTACTAATTTAAATGCATTCTTAACGACCTTATTCCATCAAGTGAAGTTATATATAGTTATCTGGTTGGATGCTTTTTAGAAAAAATTTGAAATACAAAATGAAACTGGAATTGTATAAACGAAACAAACATCTAATTTTGACTCATTTTAGAGGTACTGCTGAAGCGATGTACACCACGCTGCTAAGGCCACTGCAAGAATTACGGCTCGACATTGGCGAACAGTGCATCGTTTTCGCTATCCTAATTTTTGCAGACGGTTTGTTCTCAGAACATTTTTTTAGACTTAACTTGCTTAAAGTGTCAGTTGTGTCACGCCGGCGGCTATTAAGTTTAGATAGTAATAGTTTATAATCAGTGTTATGTACATTGCTGTTTGGTAGAGTTGGGCTCCGAATTTGCAAAACTAAAAGATCTACTTCACTAGCTCACTCGGGAGTGACGAGCTTTGATGGTTTTTGGCAAAACATCACCAACTTTGGAGAATCGTAACTCGTTTCCTATAAATTTAAATATTTCCCGTTTGCTTTTAGAAGAATTTCGGCTTTTTTGTCGAATTAATTTGTTTGCGTTGATTGTCTCAAATCTGTGTAGAATTTTGCTTCGGTTCGAGGTTAGAGCGAATAAATTTTGATTTGGAGCGGCACTGGACAAGTAAGCTAGAAAAGTAAGGATAAATAAAGTTGAAAAACAATTAAATTGCGATGCGAATTGGAATAGGGGTTACATGGCTCGAAGCTTTCGATGTGACTGTTTCAGCACTGAAAAAGTATTCCAGAGGAACTTTCCAGTGGTACCTCTGCTTCGCTCCAACCTAAAATTTAACGGGTTTTGAAATGAACGTTTGTGTCTTTTAACTAGACATTGGAATCTCGAAAACATTCAGATTTAATAGGAAATGCTTTGTAAAACACAGCCGGAAATATTTCAACGTTGCAAAGAAGAGCGACTTGCAGGTCATCGAAAGTATTCATTTCTGGCCAAAATTGATTTTAGTTATTTCGGAAAGCTGAGAACCTTTCCCGAAGTGAACTAGTGAAGTCAATTTTTTGGTTCTGCATTTTCAGGATCTTAGGAAGAAGTCTCAACTGTTTATTACTGGTCACCTGAGGGAGGCTAGTCGTAGTTTTCTCTAAGTATACCCGACAGAGAACTTTGTTTAGAAAATTATCGACTATTGCTGTCATGCTTAGGAATCTTGGAAAGGTAGGGGAATTTGATATTGAGTAGAATTCTATGTGCTTTCAGTTCTTCTAGTAGGTCTCTAAAAGAATTAAATTTTCTGCTTCACTGTTTTCGCTTCGCAGTCGGACTCGTTTTCGGACCATATTCAGGGTATACATCGTGGGGATGGAAGATAAAGACATTGGAAAACCTAATTTCATTCCATTTTTGGGCCTTTTTCCTCGAGGTAATCAAGAAGGCTGATTGTTGGAAAATGGCTAGCTGGCCTCTTCAGTTGACCTTTTTTTTCAGATTTTAAGGACATGTCACCAGCGACGCAAATGCATGCCAAACAGATGCGGGACAAGTACATCAGAGCACTGTACCACCACGTCCGCCAGAAGGATCCAGGCAAAACAAATGCTGATATTGCTTACCGGATATCCCGGATTCTGTTGCTCATATCGGCAATCACGGTAATGTTTCAAAATCGTCTCTATCAGAAAATAGGCGCGTTTGGGTATTTTTTCTTTGCCTTTCCGCATTGAGTGCATCCATGGTGTAGTTAACATTGCTACTCCTTGCAGAACCTTACTTTTCTGACCAATGACAACTTCCAACTTAATGATGTTCTACACATTGTTGATTTTGGTAAATGGAGCGAAGATATCCGTGACGGATACAACCAGTTTTGCAGAAAATGCTGATTGGTCTTGTTCTTAGATATCGTGAAAGATGACAGTGGTTGTAATGACTGTAATTTTTGTCCTACTTACCGTCTGTAAGTCCCTCTTAATGCGTCATTAATAACTTGACATAATAAGTCGATTTAGCCTGCCTTCAGAGGAAAAAAAAATCTGTCAAGAATTGCAGGCTGCAAAAACAGTTTAGCATTTGGCATCTCCCCACCCCACAGCATATTTAGTCCTTACAATTTACTCTTGATAGATTTTTCTTCCCCTTGAAGGCCGACAGAGCATGGTGAGGCTGTGCCATATAGACGTTGCATTTAATAAATTGTATCGTTTATCACACAAATTAGCCACGCTATGCGCCTTCTGCTATAAATGAACTGTCAGAACAGCATCTGGGAAACAGCCTTCCTTCGCAGGCTCTAGTCATATCTCAGAGTATGAGGGGGCCAAAGTAGTAACGCGTTAGAGCTGTGAGGGTTTAAACTTATTGGACTGTGATGATCCTCAACGTGTTCGTATTCCCACTGCCTGAAAAGTTTTATACCTGTTAACCTCGTTCATACGTTTCTTGAGTACTTAAAGAATCAAGAGAAAAAACTGAAATATTCAAGTAATTATAGAATTTCTAGGTGCGTGTTGAGTGTGTTGCTTGGTAGTACTTTAAGCCGCTTCTAAACATTAATGTTTAGAAAACTTAAGGGTGAGGGACAAACACGAACAACTCAAAGAACTCTGGACGGTTCTTCTTCCTCCCATTGCGGCTTCAAATTACGGGCCGTGAAGTTCCTGGAAACTCTTGTAGTCGCCCATGGCGAACAAGCCACATTTCTTGTATTGCGCGAGTATTTAAAAACGGCCAAGGGTTTCGTAAAATCAGGCCATCTAATAGTACTAGCGTAAAGAAAAGGAGAGGCAGCCCACAGTTGCTGGCATCAAGTAACACGTTGTGAAAAGCTGCCTCTTATAATAATATATTGGATCTAAGGTAGAAACGGGGAGCTATCTTTTAAAAACTATAAATTTGGCTCTTTCAGATGGACCTAGTCTTTGTGGCAAGTCACTAGATATTGTCCTACTGCAAATGCTGACTTTACAGATGTAGGTTACAAAATCTCAAACTGTTGCAGAAACAAAAAGAAACACGGATGTCTAAATGCATTTTCAAAGTTTACAACTTCTGAGTAAATATTCTAAAAAAGCATTAAATTGAAAAACTACAGAAACCATACCTCTTCTCCATCCGGTAATTATTACTAACAAGTCTCCTTCATGGATAAAGCCCCGTTCTTTACCAACGGATATGCCGTAGTTAATACGGCGGTCAATATCAGTAGGCCAATCATCATCCTTGTCTTCTGAAATGTATCAAGGAATTCACGCTTGGTTACCCAATACACTAAGCTTTTATGTCGTCAGTTACATTCATACTTCTCAATCGGTTGCCCACCAACTTCCACATTTGTCGGACAACCACTTCTAAGAATTTATTTGGGTGTTAAAAGGATTACTCAGATAGGAAAAACATTGAGTACGTCTATATAACCTGGATAGTACAATGGGAATACGCCGCGAAACAAGTGCAGCTGTCTGGCAACGAAGTCCTCCCGAGATATTGCGAGAACGGGGACGGAGGGATGGCATCTTGAAACCAAGCCTGCGGTACTAAAACAATCAACACTTCACTCCCTTCTAAATATACCTTCTTTACAGTATCAAGTTTAAACGAAAGATAAGCTGAGAACAAGAGCGGTTTTCACTACAGTGAAAGATATGCAGGAATTAGGTTAAAATTTTGTAAGTAAATACCGGCCAGTCGTGGTAACCAGTAGAATTGCACTAGCATGACAAGATACTGCTGCTGAAGTTGCAGCAATAGCTATTGTATGTGCTATATTAGTACCACTTGGTTTTGACGTCACTCTGAGTATCTCTTCAAAATGTTTCATCCGATAAACCGCCAATTCAGCTTCTCTACAAATCTGTAAAAATTTTCCACTCAATTCATTCGTTAAAACAGATTTAAGTCCCTACAATTTTACAGCTAATTAAATTACTGCCAGAGAAGAAAATCGGTTTACAGAAGGTTTACTTGATGCATAATTTTTAGTGCTTCTAAGGGATACTCTCCTTTAGCTGTTTCACCGCTTAACATGACACAATCTGCCCCATCAAGAACAGCATTGGCAACGTCACTTCCTTAAACCATCAAAAATTATAATGCTTTAAAAAATTAAACTCCATAAAAAAATCGATTAAAAATCCTTTTTGGCAGCATTCAAAGAGCCTCATTATTACCGCTTTAGATAAAGAAGATTACCCTCTGCTCTGGTTGGACGCGGTTTCCTTGTCATCGACTCTAACATTTGCGTTGCACAAATTACTGGTTTACCCGCTATATTACATTTGGCAATTAGCTTCTTCTGCACCAAAAACACCTTCTCTGGTTGAATTTCGATACCCAAGTCACCTCGAGCCACCATTATCCCATCAGAAACTTCGATTATTTCATCTGCACTAAACCAACAAACCAAAGTACATGTTAATTGATTTGGAAGCCCAGTAAACTGTTTGTAGTTTACAGTAAAAACTTCAAAACCGATTTAGATAAAATTGAAACATCTTAAAACCTTTACTTAGCAACTCCTTCTTCACTTTCAATCTTTGCAACAACTTTAATGTGTTTTCCCTCCTCGCCCAAAATCTTTCTGATAACCCTTATCCCGTCTGCATTCCTGATGAATGACGCAAATATAATGTCAACACCCTGAAAAAGTATATATTTACTTCCCCACTCATTCAATGGCACAAGAAACGTATTTCTCACAAACGTCAAATCACCTGTTCAACACCAAATCTTAAATCATGAACATCTTTTTCGGTGACAGCTGGTAAATCACACTTAAGGCCCGGAAGATTAACTCCCTTTTTGCTTCCAAGCAAACCTCCGTTTTCGACTTTACACATTAAGTTGTCAGTGTCTAAATTGATTACTAAATTTTCAATACAAATATTTTAATAGGCTTTAACAAATTAGTGCATAACGACTTCTGGTTTATCAACAGCAGCTAAGTTGACAAAGTTTTATCAAGTGATTTGGGATTCAATGAAGCAAAATATTTCTCAAATAATCACTGAATTTATCCTACCTATCTTTTCAATAATTAATGAGAGGAAACCGTCATCGATGTAAATCCGAGAGCCGACTTTTACACAATTTGTTATATTTTTGTAATCCACATAAATACACTTTGTGCTACAGCGTTTTTCAAAACGAGGATCGGTGGTAACACAAATATCTGCCCCTTTTACTAGCTCGATTTCTTCCGTTTCACCCTGAATTTCATTTAGAAATCCTGCGTTAACGTTTACTAGAGAGTTACACAGTAATGAATAATGACTAGCCACATGATTAAGCTGGTTAAGTAAAAAGTAACTAACATAAATCTTTTAAGATTGTTGGAAACAGGTGGTGACATATTACTGAGCAGCCAAACGTTACGCCACAGCAAAAATCTTTTTAAAACTTCAAGTTTATCACTACGACTTGCTACTGAATTTAATCATTCAAAAGTTGGAACAGTAAAGCTCTAAAAGAATTTGTTAATTTGCAATTGAATGGTTTCCAATTACCTGTTCTATTACACCTGTCCGTATTTCCGGACCTTTTGTGTCAAGAGCAATCGCCACTATACGAGGGACGCTGAAGCTCTGAGCTGCTTCGCGAATGTTAGCGATCGTTTCAGCGTGATACTGCAATTATTCACTGATTAGTTTTCCCCAATACAAATTTCACTTAAAAAAGTAGTAAACACTTAAATGGACAAAGACAAAGTTTAATCAAAATCGAACTTCATGAGACCCGTGACTAAAATTCAACCGTGCAATGTTCATTCCGTTATGTATCATCGACTGCAACAAATCAACGCTTCTACTCACAGGGCCTGAAAAGGGGGCAGATATAAGTCATCGTATATGACGCCTGAAATCATAAATAAAGAAGGACAAAATTAGGTAAGAGCTCAAGGTAAGTCTAATTTCCAACCAATTGTACAAATAATCCCGGTTTTTCGGACTAAAGAAGGTGGGTCTGACATTTTTAAGCCGCTTAGATGCTCCAAATGAGTTGTAGATGGTAGTATTTCCATTGTTTGTTCTTGCCTAAATATATTACCCAACTTTTACAAAAAGTAATTGTTGGGCTTCAAATCAGGTTTAAACTTTTGAAACTTTTGTGCCAACAAAGACAATTTTAAAAAGGTTTCTGCAAGTGAATACCGAAAATACTCTCCACTCTTCTCTTCCTCGATAGTCATCTGTCGGACTGTTTTTGGTCGAGCATTTCTAAAACCAGCTTTAGCACTGGCTGCCATTTCCTAATTCTAATTTGTCACCTATCAGATTAATCGTTTTATAAATCTAGTGTGTTCCTAAGTCGCAATAAACCATAGGTAAGCGATACTGTTAATTTGTCTGTAAAAGATATCCCATTAAATACCAGAAGTGACCGACATACAAAATTCAACAACAAAACTAGGGTTGTTACTGAAGGAAAAACATCCCATAAATTGATAACGTACATTAAAGAAAGCACACGTCAATGCAATACCGCCAAAGTAAAGCAAGCAGTTGAAAAATGTAGAAGCACTTGCGATTTATGGACGAAATACCGAGACTAAGTGTTTGACGAGGAATGTTGTTATTGAAAAGCCTATTAAGTGGCTGGTAGAAATATGTCAATCCCAGAATTATATCAGTAAGACTTTTTCAGTTGAAAAAATAATGAAGAATTTACAAGATAAAACCTACATCTCTTACGAGATGAATAGTGAATTCATTTTAAAACTACATTTGTCTAATGAAAGTTTGAAAAACCGATTAATTGATCAAAAATGACGGCACATTATGGCGACAGGAACTGCACGACAAGTGTGTAGACAAATAGTTGTTATTGCCGAAAACAATAAACAAACACTATTGACAAAGCTATTTAGAAGTAAAAAACAAATAAAACTGTTGTAGTAGTTGCAAGTATCAACATACATATCAACATGTATTATGTAGCCCCTCCAATCAGGTATATCTTACAAACAGATCACTATATCTTATTGAAACAATAGCCAGTGCCCAGAAAAAAAAGTGATACATCAGAAACAGATAACTGAAGCAAATAGGTCAAACAAAGTGAACATTTTTTGACAGCATCAAATTCTTTTGGAACTGTTAATATCGCATCTGCTCTCTCGGTAAAGAAATATTTCGTATATCATCACATTCATACGCTAACAGTATCGATTATCACTGTGGATTCAATCTTCCAAAACTAAACAGACTCAGTTGGTTTAAAAAAAAATAATAATAAAAAAGATGTAAAAAGATGTGCACTTTAACAAATGAATACAATGCTTAAATACTTCTCGTAAAACGTTGCTAACTGAACTAAAAAAAAAATTTTTTTTTGTTGGCACATCCTGAAAAATGCCCTTGCCGTTACTTCAGTACTGCTCAAATTAAATTACAAAGAAGCTAATGAAATGAAATAAATTTTCTTTTTGCGCCAATTTTAATTCATCATTTACTTATGCTTAAATTACTTGGCCATACCGGTTCTAAGATTGTCTACCGTTGCTTATGCTTTCACTGATATAAAATTTTGTCTCAAGTATAAAAAAAATATTCCTGTATGATTGTTGGAGCAAATAACTTCCAAATTATATGAATATTTATTTGATGTAGTCCAAAAAAATTGATTAAAATGAAAACCAAAGAAATACCAAGATATTAACTGCTAAGAAGAAAACGTTTTTGCTTCACACTTACAGCCTGTACTCTTTTCCTTCTCTTTCCTGCTCCTGTGGATCAAAACTGAGATTTTTTTCAAACCTAAACGAAGTACAAAGAATTTATTGTTAGTTGCTCACTTATCTAAGTTCAATTTACACGACATCAACATCCTTCCTGATTGACAATACTTTTGTTACCATAGTGCTAGTAAGTCTACTGTATTGCCATCAAAAAAATTTGCCTTCTATATGTTGCTGGTTAATTTCTCAGTACAAAAACATACAGAAACGCCCAAATTTGCATTAAAAAATTACCTATCTAATACATTTGATACCATTTAATTGACATCAGATCTCTGTCTGTTGAAAATTATTAATTTTTTAAGACCAGAATTCTAATATGATCAACCTGAGGCCAATTTCATAGCCTATGATAAATAATAAAAAAACTCTCACATCACATCTACGAACATTTTGCGGAGAAGTTTCAAAAGATTGAGCAGCCAGTCCAAAATGAATGCCACTCATCAATCGAATATCTCAAATGTCTGGAATGTGAAAAGCATTCTTGAAGACATCACACAAATGTTTAAATCATCGGTTAAGTCCAAATTACAATAATGAGAAAAAGTAATACAAAAAAAAAAAAAGATTAATTTAAGACAAAGTCAGTAGCATATATTTAAACTCTTTATAGACTATTTGAAAAGCCTCTAGTGAGAATGTTGAACAAGAACTGAACGAAAAAGTGTATCAACATAAGAAAAAACTGATCAGAAAACGGATGAAGCAGCAGAATGGTGGATAATTTGGGAAAAGAACCGGACATTCGGAAACAATCAATGTCACTTCAGCCTAATTGTTAATGCAACGCCGTCTCTTTTTAGGTCCGATGCAATCACTGCACTTTCTTCTCAGATTCACTCGTTCCTTTTTTTTTTCATCGCCGATGATCACTGGTGTGGTAAGTGAGCCATATTAAAAATGGCAGCAAAATCAGCAGCGAAAATCAGAAAAACAACTAAAATAAATTTTTCTGAAGTTACCCCATACAGATATTAAAATTCATAGTGACCACATAGCCTAATGCAAAAGATAAGCAACAAATATAGTCGGACTGTCTAACAAATGCTACTTTGATCTTTGTGCCTTTACCAGGTATATTAGCATAATTAAAAGAGTCCAAAGAGCCGTAAAAAAACTGACCATTGCTGCAGTTCAAGAATTCAGAAGACCTGCTTTATTACTTTTCCCTAATTTTTACTGTCTTTTGCCATCATATAAATGACTAAAAATCTAAGTTCTAAAAGAATAGTAGGGTATATATGTATCAGTTTCAGTAGGAGAGGAAAACTTTTATATGACAAAAAAAGTTTATAAAGCCTCTGGCTACTGACACTGTTCAGTGACGAGACTAAAATTACGAAAGAGCTTAAAACCAATATTTTGTACCGAAGAAGAACGAAAGATAAAACAAAAATCATCACTCCCATAATGGCAGATCAGATATAATGACATGGCTGGAAAAAATGTCAAAAAATATATGCGCTACACGAGTCAGAAAAAGTCTTCATGTTTATTCATGTTTTCAGTGCTTCTATGATCAGGAATGACAATTAACAGAGCAAAATGCTACGACTTAGAGTAATAGATTTTATTCCAGTTATCTGCTTCCTTAACCTTGGGCTCCTTTTTCTTTCCCTTCAACGCCATCTTTTTAAAGCCCCTAGAAGAGAGGAGCAGGGCTGTTAAAACACTTGTTTTGTAACTGTAAAGCTGACTCTATTTTTGCTGCTATAATTTGAAAATAATGGCACAAACGAAATGATTAAGTAGGTTTGGTTGTTACTGACAAAAATTTCACCGCAAAAGAACCTTACGATGCTAAGCGGTAGACGCTTGCTTAAAAAGCAGGTGTTGGTTCTCTTCTAGAATGCCACAGTAGCTGCCTCAAATATGGCAGCGTAAGAGGGAATTTTTTCAAATTATCTTTATAACATAGTATTAGAATCGATTTAAAAACGACTTTTCAAATTTGCAGTTCTCTTAGTAGGGAATTTGCTGTTTTTTCTTTTTATTAGCAGTTCAACTGCTTTTACAAACACTAATTTTTGACTCATACCATTTCAGTTAGCTTCTGATTTTTCCTGGTAGTTTGTTCTAGTTCTAGAGAATTTTACAATTCTGAGCAGGTATTGATAAACGAATAACTGCAAGACCAAATAATGCTATTTTTAGGCAATAAATTCCAAATAGATACGGCTTCTCGTTATGAAACGAAGAATTAATATACAATAATACGTTTAAATATGTTCACTTCCTCTAAATTTTCTTATCTTTTTGCTGTTTTCTTAAACTAGCAAAAAATCCCAAGACGCTTATTTTGAATTCACAACACACCCAAAGTTGCTAACCCGTTTATTATCAGGAACCCTTCCTGATCTTAATGACCTGTCATTTACAATTGTTCAACAAAAATAGTTGGATATAGCAGCTATTTCATCTACTGCTGCTAACGCACAACAGCACTTTAAAATTCCGTTAAGATCCTGTATTACTTACGTCTACTTTTAAAATTTTTAGAGCGGAATAAGCAAAATACACTATTCCATTAAAAAAAGTGGGTAATCAACCGTTATATATTCATCCCTAAAAAACTTACTTTATCGCTCAAGCAACTAAAATACGGCAGAGTTAGGAAATAATCTATGGAATTTTAAACAGCGCGAAGTCTCTCTCAAAGGCCATTATGCATTTTCAGCTGTATATCCGATAAAATGCCTTAACCATCAAAACCAAAACGGCTACTTGAATAAGTGCAGAAAAAAGTGCAACAGAAAACCATTGGCTCAAAACGTAAAGGAAAGATAAACTAAAAAAAAAAAATGCATTTTACTGAAGGAAATCCTATGGTTAGCCTTCATGCATCAGCAAACTGTCTGCCGATTATCATAAATACGTCTCACTCCCCTATAACATCAGCTTGATAAAAATTTTGTTTTATACCTTAGATTACCTCAAATTATGGAGCTGTTTTAGAAACAATAAAAATTCTAAATTCTAATGAAAGAAGAATTTTACATCAGATCTCTATTACTATTAAAACTGGAAATGGCTAACTGAAATTTCAGAAGTTTTATATTTTTAACCAGCAAAATGAAAAGTTGAGTTCGCTTTTGGCTATTAACAATAGCTAAAAGCGGTTGGAAGAACATGGAATTTATAATGATAAAATACCCAACTGTTGACCCGTTCCATAAACTCAGTGGAAAGAGATCAAAAAAATACTGAAATCTCAAGTCACTTTTTTTGGGCTTTTTTCACAGTATTCAAGACAGAATTTTTTACAGTCAATCCGTTCAATACTTCCAAAACTGAACAGTTATAATGTATGTTTAATAAAATTTTGCGAAAAATTTCACTAAATGCTGTTTCACGAGAGGAAAATCGTAAGACTACAAAAAGCATATAAATTTTTATTAACTTTTAACTAAGTTTTTTAAAAAATTTTGAAGAAATCATCCAAAAACGAAAGGCTACGAAGATTGTAGCAACAATAAAATGCACTAAAAATACAAAGTTTCTTGGTT